CCCGGGCAGCTCTCGCAGTGTCCCGTAACCCCACGCTGCTCCCCGGCAGCAGTCCGGCTGGTGGAGACGAGGAATGCCAGGGAGGGGGAGCGCACCTCGTCACCTCCTCCTCCCTGCGCAGGGCGGGGAGGGAGCAGGTGAATGCGCCCTTTGTCCGGCCAAGGGCCCGACAGACCCAGGCTAGGCGCTGTTTGGGCCGGCCGCTGTCAGAGGGCAGACCCCGGGGCCGCGCTGTCCCGCCGCCCTCCGCCGCTCGGCACGGGGCACGGCACTGCGGCTCGGACCCGCGGGGCGGAGGGGACCGGGATGGGCGCGGAAGGCGGGGCCGGGCGGGGAGGTGGAGGCTGCGGCCCGGCCCCCCTGCTTCTCATCTCCTCAGAGTCCGGCAGGAGCTCCGCTGCTGWCCCGGGTCCGCTTTCCCCTCCGAGCCGGGACGGAGCCGAGCCGGGGCTGCCGCTGCCGCCGCTCCCCGCGGCGGGACCTCCGGCGGGAAGGAGAGGCCGGGCTGCCGGGCCAAGGTGAGTGAGCCCGCGGGGCGGGCAGGGGCCGGCCGTGCCCGCAGCCCCGGGAAAGTGTCCGTGTGTGCCCGCCCGGCCGGGCTGCGGCGGGTTCGGGTTCGGGTTCCGCCTGGGGCCGCGCCCGCCACGCGGCCGGGCCGGGCCGGGAACCCTCGGCGGGCTCGGGCTCCTGAGGGGGAGCGCCCCGGGCTCCTCCGGCCGAGGAGAAACGCCGAGCGACGCTCTCCGGCTCCCACTCTCTGGGCTTTCATGCGCTTTTCCACCGAGCTCAGCAGAATTCTTGAGGAGCRGGGAAAGTTATGAACTCGCGTGCTGARTGCTTACAGTCCCGCACGATGCAGYGCTTGGAAAGCGAGGCGCTTATGCCCGGCACTTTCATGCTGTCATTTTCCGATCGTGCCAAGAGAGAGAGGTTCAGTAACTATCCCGTGSCTCTTCCATCACTTCCTCATTACCACAAACTTTTTATTATACCTATTTTTCTTTTTTCGTGGAGCCAGTCCGGAAAATCTCTCGGTGACTTGGGAWGATGTTTTCTCGGGGTAATATCTGCACAGTGTGGGTGGTTCAGCATTACAATAGTATGCTTTCTCGGTGCAAAATTCAGTACCGTGCTGACAGCGCTGGAAACTTGGCTTTCTGCAGCAGGACATCCTCCACCCTCACGGGCAGCTGCCTCCCAGAGCAGAAGGGGTGTGCGCTGAGGATGGACATTAATGCAACTGTTTTCTTTCATAATAGCTGTGAGCTAGATGACTAACTGTCTCTCGCAGGACTCCTAATTTTCCTTCAGATGCGTTCCAAAAGRACACATACTCTATATTACTTCTCTCTGGCAATTTATAAGGCACCGAGGAGTAATTTTAAGTGCTCTTCATTTAGGGTTTTCAAAGGTTRTCACTGTGCTTTGTTACTGGGAAATAATTTTATGTTAACGTATCAGAAGCTGAGTGTAGTACAACATTATGACACTTGAATTTCCTTGCATGCAGTCACATGGCTGAAGCCCATAGTTCCMTGGATGAACACTACATTCATTCGCACATGCTTTCTTTTTTCTTTCTGTATTGTCTTTTTCTGCATAAACCTTGAATGCTGTATTTAACATTCCATTAAACATTGTATCCCAAAAAAACCCAATAAATCAGCTTTTAGAATCAGCAGCTGGCATTCTAGCTCATGGAATTTTTTTTTTTACATCATGATATAATTTATTATATCATCAATATAAAACTTTAACTAGAAGCTTATACTGGACTCTTCACTCTTCATTTCTAAATTTTCTTAATGAAGTGTGATAACAGCATGAGAACTGGGTGAGTCAAGCTTTTCCATACAGAGCTTCCAAACCTAAATAAAGCTTTTGGGCCTCTAAGACCTATATGTGTGGTAGCCAGAAGGTAGGCCCCAAAAACATAGACTGCCCTTCATATTATGAGTTCCTTAAAAATAGAAGTGGAATTCACTGTATTTGGGTTCACTGTATTTGTTTTTTTTCTGGGTAAGTATGCCATACTAAGTTCTATTTGCAAACTGTTCTTTGCCATTGTAATAGTTAGCAATTGTGTATATTGAAACATGTAGAAGKAGAAATTCTAAAATTTGAGGTTTTRTGAAGATACATGATACCCCAAAACTTGTGACATAATCATTTGGATTACCCCGTGGAATAGGGGCGAAAACAGAAATATGCCTCCATCAATCCATGCTTTCTTGGGTGCAGGATATACAAAGGATAACCATTTCTGACAGCATTAGCTGGTATAGGAAAGGGTTAACAGTCTGACCTTCAGACAGAACTCTTGTTGACCCTACTCKGCAACACTTGTCAGGAAGGTTATGCCCAAAGGGAGAGCTCACTACCAGGAGGGAAAAATCCAAAGAGAAATACTAAGGAAAAGAATACTGCAAAAAAAGAATACTTCAGCTTCAGGTACCTGGATGACTAACTGCAAGACTCATCGACTAAAGGAACCAGACACAGTAAAAGAAGGRAAATTGTCAAAGTCTCATTTGTCCATATAATTTCCCAAAAGTTTTAATGGACATAAAAGAATCAGTAGTTAGAAAAATAGTTTAATATCTAGTAATTGAGCTGTTCAGTAGGATAGTACATGGAAGAGTCACCTAGTAATTTTGTTAAAGATAGCCACAGAAAGTCACCCTGTGGTATGGCACTCTGAGTTTCCAGTGGTGTGCTGCCAGTGCCTCTCCTCCTGCAGTGTGATGTACACCTGGGAAGTCCATGTTGCAGGGTCCTTGCAGTCCATGTAGATATTTTGCACTCTTCAAGCTGTTGCCTTTCCTGCTACCATAGGATTTTTCAGAAACATCTCTTTCAGTTTGTCCATTCTCTTCCTTTTTTTTTTTTTTCTGGCATCTGATCTCTTGTTGTCTGTAATAGCTTAGAACAATTTCTACTGGTATTTGTGGTGATGAGTATTGCCAAAATACCTTGGAACAGCATAAGTGAAGCTCCAGTTTCTTGACAATCTTGATGGGAGAATATATCTYTAAAGCCACAGATGACTGTGAGGCAGACCAATCTTAAACCCTAAAACATACTAATAACAAYACATTTCCATGGGCTTCTTGCATCAGCAAGTCTTATGAATTTAATACAATTCATCTTCATACCATTCTACATGTTATTTCTGTAAGCTGTTTCAAAGTAATTTGTTGTTATTTAAAAACTCTCTTCTTGAATTTATTCGTTATTCCACTGTTGACAAGGATATTAGGCTTAAATATTCATTTTCATCAGTGATTTTGTTCTGTTGATTCATGCTGTCTCTTATTTTCTGCTTTGCCCAGAAACCAASCTGAGCTTTTCTTATTCTCAGAGGACGGACTTCTTCTATTTGACTGTACTTTCTCCACCAAATGTGTGGAGGATAGGGAAGAAAACAATTTGAGGGAAAATAGGCCTCAAATTTCCAGTATGGCATTTCAAAACCTGTGTTTACATCCTGTGTTTGTTTTGCAGGGAGTTTCCACAATGGAGAAGAGGGAAAGTGATAATCGTGCCATTGATCAGAATGCAGGTCAGAACATCATGCCGAGAAGAAATACAGGAAACCTTAACTACTTGGTAATACTTCTGTGAAAAAGCAGCTCATATGTCACATAGAATATTGCAATCTTTGATTCAATTTTTTTTCCAGAGACAGTGTTACCATCACACTGGCATATCATGAATATTTCTGAAGTGTCGTCACAATATTGACATGAAGAGATAAAAAGATAAAGAACWTCTCATTCAATTTAATCACAGTCCATGATAAAAAATACACAAAGTTTGGGGCAGCTAAAAACTACATGAGGTTAGCTGCCAATTGTATCATACCAGATGAGCAAAACTCCATAGAAATCATCTGGGATTTTTACTCAAGAATATAAAATTTATTTTTAGAGGAACCTTCATGATAGCAACATTGCATTCAGGAAGTTTTCCATATCACATAAAAAAAAAGATCCAGAAGAAAATCCTTTCTTGTGCAAATTACTTGGGCTACATCGTTCAGYCTATAGCTGAAATTTTACATTTGAAATCCATAACTTTTATCATAAGCTGAAATGATGCTTCACATAATGCAATCCTTCTTTCGTTGCAGTGTAATTATCTTCTGGAATTAAAATCTATTTTAAAACACCGCAGATAATGAAAAAAGGAAAATCTATGCTATAAGTGCCTTGCTGAAGGTCTGACTATGCTGTTTGAAATGTTACATTTCCGAGTTACCTTGTCTTTAATAGTGCATATGTTTTGGATATAGTTTCACTTCAGTATATTGTAAAAGTCATGATGGCAAATACTGTCATTACTGACATTTTTAATCTTCACTTGAACTGACTTTATATTTGCTTTCTGTTCGTTCCAGAATGTGGATATGCAGGTTGCCAATCCATCAGAAGCAGCTGCACTTTTTGATTTACATCAAGCACACCATTTTGGTGAGTTTGAACGCTCTTCAGAACAGCACTGCAAGCAGGATCTGTTCCCTAGGTGGCACTTGCCAATGAAGATAGCATCTGTGATCTCATTATTAACATTTATTTACACTTCTATGAGAGATGTCATATATCCTTTTATAASCAGAAAGGAAAATGTTTTCTATAAAATTCCAATCCTTGTCATAAACAAAGTTTTACCAGTGACTTCAATTACCCTTTTAGCACTAGTGTATTTACCAGGAATATTAGCTGCTGGTTTCCAGCTGTACTTTGGCACCAAGTATAAAAGGTTTCCCCAGTGGCTGGATAGATGGATGTTATCAAGGAAACAATTTGGACTTCTCAGTTTCTTCTTCGCTACATTGCACGCCTGCTATAGCCTGTGCTATCCTATGAGAAGATCATACAGATACAAGCTGCTGAACTGGGCATTCCAGCAGGTACGATGGGCACRTAAACACCAATGCTTCTGTGTTCAGGAAATCCTTGTTTTAGTCATTCAAGCAAATCTGGATGGGGGAAAGCCATTTTCATTGCCTTTGTTTGATTTTGAATTAGATTCCCAGAGAGCACTGTTAAGGGATGGAGCAGGAWCTAGTTGCCAAAGCACATAATAGARAGTCSAGTCATCACAGCTGTGCCYGTGTATATTAAATAAATAATTTTTTTCATTTGGGATTTTTTTCTCTCTGTGAAATGCACAAAATTTTATCTCCCAGGAGCATTTAAGTCTTTGGCRCACTATTAGTTTAGTGTAGATTAATCTTTTCTGAACCAATGAAATCTATCAACAAAAACTGAGTACTGAACACAACATTTTTAGACATCTTTGCAAAGTGAATCAGCCAGCAGTGAAGGAGGGCTGAACTAAATCACAGTAATCTGGATTTGCACAAACTAAATTTGTGACTACTGATGTCTCACAATTGGACTGATACACACTATCTTGTTTAAAGATAGAATTTCAGTGATGCTTCTGAGTTGTGGGCAATTGGCTGGCAAAGCTTTCTAAAATCCTCTGTAACTGGAGAGGATCCTAATGCTCACCTATCACCTTGAGTGCCATAAGTATTGCAAAATAAGGAATATCCCAGAATATAGTATCGACTGCTAATGTATGTTTTTATTACCCCCAAAGTCTAATCTAAAGTTTTATTAAAAGCACAATATGATGATGAGAGCAGATTCTTAGATTTCTGTAAACTACCTGTTGAAAGCTCCGAAATTGGCCTTATTGGTAATCTGACTTGAATGGATTACTAGAAATTGCCTTGAGATTCCAGTATTCGAGATGTAGACATGATTATATTTCAGGCATATTATGCCATGGTGATCACTAGCAGGATCAAAGTGCTATTGAAAGTAGTTGTAAATAGGAGAAGTTTTTACATCRGTTTATTAAAGTCACAAATGTATCAAGTTGTGTTTTTTAAAAAACAGAGCCAAACAACCACCCTGGCAGGATACTTTTATTAAGAATGCCTGCTGAATTACTTCCCTGAAGGAGTGCTTTTAATATATTTCCTGTTGTTATAATCTCCCTGACACAATGTTTAGCCACAGGTGGAATTTTTTTCTTGTCAAAACTAAGATTTATCCTGCTGTGAAGGCAGGTTAACAGGCCTCAGAATCAGTCTCTTCTGCCCAAGACATTGATGAGGTCTAAATTCTTCTCTCTAAAAGCTTGCCTTTGCTCTGCAGCTACTAGTGAAGACTTTGTCATCAGAAGTAAATAGCAGTTACAATCAAACAAACCAAATGTGTTCCTTTGCTTATTTAATTAATGTCACAGTGAAAATAGTGAAATTACATTTCAAACAAGCAGCCAAATGTGCCAGTTTGTAATTTTTAATATAGTGTTCTTTTTGGCAGGTGAAACAAAAAAAAGAAAATGCCTGGATTGAACATGATGTTTGGAGAATGGAGATTTATGTGTCTCTAGGAATTCTGGGACTTGCTTTGCTGGCCCTGTTGGCAATAACATCAATTCCATCTGTGAGTCATTCTTTGACCTGGAGAGAGTTCCACTAYATTCAGGTGTGCATGAATGTCAATACTGCATGTCATTAGTGCCATTTGTAGAACTGTGTTATCAGCTAAGGCCATTAGGAATGAGAAACATCAAACACAGAKGAGTTAGTGAAACCAATCTAAAAGTTTGTTCTGTACTCTTTGTTAATTGGTTTGCAAGAAATGTTCTTTTCATTCACTCTTTTCAGGAGAACAAGCTGTTGTGTTCAGTGTATAAACTGGGAAGAAAAGACAACTTCAAACCCCTCTTTTTCCTCTTCCTGACTTTGTGACCAGCAGCAGTTGTCCCTTCAAGACCTTTTCTTAGCTCTGGTGCTGGAGACATTTCAGTCACCTTCTATAATCTTTCTGAAATGCCCTGTGTCCTGCTGAATTGGGAGTAGGTGGCATTGAACCAGTCAATGCTGCTCCCATATGACACAGTATTCTGAAAGAGACACATAATCGAATCCAGCCAGTCTTGAGTTTGCTACAGCTGTGCTTGTTTCCTTCACCCATGCATCTGGTTTACGCTCTCAATTCTCTTACATCATATGCAATAATAATCAGGGGTGGTCTCATTAGATTTAAGCAAGTGTTGGATCAGGCCCTCAAACACCAAAATCTGAAAATTCAATAGCCTATTAAGTACGTGGCATTTAAAAACTTGATTTGTGTTTTAAAAGCAGTTCTGAAGTTATAATCACCAATTAGTGATTTGATGTTCTACACACTTTATGAAGTCATCATTTGTAAGAGAAGTTTTCTGGATTACAGAGACAGTGGACGGGTCAGGAGGGTGTCTCCAAATGCATGATTGCTTTCAGTATCTAATGACTATGTGAAGAAACCCACAAGAGTAATACTTCTGTGTTGGACTTGTTTTATGAACAAATAACATTACTCAAAAATCAGGTTCTATACGTTTAGCAGTTGGGAAGGCAGTGTTCAATTTCACAGATGAGTACAAGATTGTTTTGTGACAAGAAACTCAAAATTACTAGTAAATTTTCTTTACTACTGAATTTTGTAAACAACCTAAGCCAAATTTATTACTTTAAGTGAAATGAAAGACTTGAGTTTCYTGGAGTTGTGCAATTGCTTTTGCCATAGTACTAGACTTACTAGAGATTGTGATTTTAATTTAGCTTAAAATTTTTCTTTGCAAGTAATCAATTAATCCTGCTTTTGGACTCATAATAATTTATCACAGAATTAAAGTAATTTCGTATACAGATGGCATCTGTAAATTGAGATATTCAGGACTGAGTGTCTTTCAGGAATAACCTGTAATCTCTTCTGGTTTTAACTAAGTATCATAGCAATACTTGATATGTATTGTGCCTCATTCAYTTTCTTTTATGGTGGCATAAAGGGGTACAGTTGGAGTCTTGAATTATAATTCTTACATATATATAATTATTAATAATATTATATATATAATTATTATAAATATATATATGTAATTCTTGTATCATTTAAGTTCAAAGCCAATGGTCTTCTTTTTGTTGACTTGAACATATTGGTCAAGGCTGTTCCAGATTTCCGTAATTGCTTAAGAGAGTACTTTTTTTTGCCAAGTTGAGAAAAATAAAGAGCTTACTATTTTCTTTCTCTTTTCAGAGCAAGATGGGATATTTAGCCCTGCTGCTATGCACTGTTCATGCACTGGTGTTTGCTTGGAATAAGTGGGTTGATGTTAACCAATTCATCTGGTATACACCACCTTCATTTATGGTTGCAGTTTTTCTTCCTATTGTAGTTCTGCTGTGTAAATGCATCCTGCTCCTCCCATGTTTTAGGCAGAGGATAAGGAAGATCAGAAGTGGTTGGGAAGCTAACACACAAGCCAATCAAACCAGCATCACTTCCAGACTGTAGATCAAATATGGACATTTCCTGTCCATGTATCAAATATGCTCAAGGCTATGAAATTTTAACTCACGAGTTCTGTTTTCATATTTTCTATAGATGTTTCTTTTTCACTTTTCATTTTTACTTCAGGAGWAAGAGATACTTGATACAATTTTGATGTTTTTTAAGACAGAAGATGAAAACATTCATTTTACACTTTATTCAATRTTTTGATATTTGATCATTTCTTTCTTCTTACGGCCTTTAAAGTCCAAGTGTTTCATTGTTTCAATCTCAATTCTTTTGTAGGCAAAAGCAATCATAAATCATTTCTCTAGAGGGCCACAGAAACTAAAAAAAATTATTGCATCACAGAGCCCAGRAATGCTTTCTACTTCATTCAGCCATGTGTGTACCTTCATTAAAATTCAGAATTATAATGGGGCAAAAACTAGAGTATTTCTCATCCCATTCCCTCTTAACACCTGCAGCCTATGTTTGACTCTGCAGAATGGGGGCCTTGGCATATGAGTCAGACAGAAACTGTGTATTCCCGCCAGGTCTTGAACTTACACAACTGGGCAAGCAGAATTACAAAGAACTTTACAAGGTAAATACCTCCTAGGCTTGGGCACAGTTTAAAAAAAGAGTTTTTAGAGTCAGATCTCCGTCTTATCCAGGACTAGGTGTGTCTCTGTTTACTTGAAACGATAAAACATTTCCCATTTTTTATTCCATGAACACGTTCTTTTGTTTCTGRTGCTGGAAATTTTCCATGCTTTTGACCTCAGCCTGAAGCCCTTGACATGTGCTAAACTTTATTCACACAAATTATTCCAGTGGGATAACTACCATCAGGTAAATGTGTTTTATTGTTTACGCTGGGACCAGCACAATTGTGTGACTGGAAGAAAAACATTAGAAATAGACATTTGAATTTTGCCATTGATTTGGCAAGATTCTCCTATAAAATGGTTTCCAAATGCATTTGCTTTTACAGAAATTTTCATAATAATTTRATTAGCTCATTAAGTCCTACTTTCCTTATGTTGCATAGGTCTGGCTGAATGTCTTAAATGAATAATTCATTTGTTAGTATCTGTTATTCAGTAGTTAATATTTTCACCCAAYGTCAGGAACATTTCTGCCAGTCTACCTGCAGGAGTTTACTAGGACRTGGACTGTTGATGCCACCTATTGCTGAATGAGAATCATCTGAGTGAGAATTATAATTGGTAATGCCTCTGGTACTAAAACAAACAGGAAAACAGCATATGCCTAAACAAAATACATAATACATGGTGCTAAAGAATCTCTTGTACCTTTGTGGACTTATACACTGAGCATAAATAACAGACAGGGCTAAATAGCTACAGGGGTATTACATTTTGTATTTTCCTGATTGTTTACCATTCAATTATTGCAACTTAAAAGCTGGCCTTTTTATTTGCACGTAATGTAGCACTGTGAAAGTAACTGGGGGCATGGTGGCCTATATAATAGAGACTGAAATCTGTGTCATTGTGTATCCAACCAGTAATGCATGGCAGAGGCAAAAATCCTAAAATACAGAAAGCTGGACTTCAGTGTTAATCTGAGGAATTTCTAACAGAGCAGAAAAAGTATGAATCTCAATGTAATTGCATTTACATTTCTATGAAGGAAATAAATCTTTTATAAGTCATAAGCTCTATGCACTTGTTCCAGAAGGTAGTGCAAGATAGCATAACTTCATTCATTTCAACCAGTTAATACGGGTTGAACTCCTAACATAAATTACAGGGGCAAACCARTTTCAAGATCATCACATACTATCCAGACTGACCTTTTATGCTTATCATTYAACTGGGTACATTTAACACACTTCAAACTTTTCTCTCTAACATTATTCAGAGGCAAACACAGAAGTGTGTTCTGTAGTCTACAAAAGCTATTCTAAAAAATCATGTATGACATCCAAACATTTAAGCATATTTTTCTGTACTGATTGTTTCAAGTAGGAGCCAGGTTTTCTGTGTCAGATTCAGCCGTTTCTCTAGAAGTTACCACTGACTAGCCACAATTTGAGACTTCATGTTGAGTCTCTTCCCTGCTTTGAAGTGTTGAGTAAACTACATCTTAGTAACTCACTTCCCAGTCTGCAGGCTGCCCAGGGAAGTGGTTGACTCACTGTCCCTGGAGGTATTTAAAAGACATTTAGATGTGATGCTTAGGGACATGTTTTAGTGGTAGGCTTGGTAGTGTTAGATTTATGGTTGGATTCAATGATCTGAAAGGTCTTTTCTGACATAAATGATTCTATGATTTGCTAATTTGAAGGCATTAAGATACAACAGTGAGGGAGGAAGGTCATGTAAGGTCTRTAAAGGGCTAAGAAGAAAACACCATTGGCAGTATTTAATTTCTCGCTTTGTAGCAGACATGATTTAGTTCAACACTAATTAAACTAAGTTTATATGTACCTTTTAATTTATGTTTATGTATCTGTTTCAAAATTCAGTGTATTAATAGGCCTWTATACTATTATAATACATAATTTGAATGTGTGTGCACATTTGAGACACTTTCTTGTAAAGCACTAATTACTTTTTATAAAACAGTATCATTAAATGCTTCAATGTATGCTGTATCTGCATTGTGTYATATACTTCCAGGGTAAAAGGGTAAAAAGACACAGTAGACTCTAGAAGAGCTGCTGACATGAACACTCTAAGGGACCGTTCTCTCTGTGCTGGTGAAGAGCCTAGAGCCTCCAAAGGAAAGAAGACAAAGATGTGAAAAGCAAAATGTACACTTTCATAGTGTAATGAAAGTWCATTTCCCCTGACAAATCCCTTAACTGATTGCCTGTATATTCTAGCATTCAGAGGAGATTTTGTGAGAAGGATGAGAAGGCTTTAGAAGGAGACYCAAGATCCCTGGAAATACTGATTAAAGACCAAGAAAAGCTCAGGAATAGCAAGGGCATTGAGGAAAGGCATGTAWGGGTGTACTTTTGGGTAAGATTCCATCATTCTAGTGGCAGTGACTTTAAAATGCCTCTACAAGGCCTGTAAAGTACTTTTTTCAGTCGTTGCATGTCTCAAATGTATTTGAGAAACACAGAATTGAAACTCTGGAGATATAAATTGTTAAAGGGGCTTGAGAATTTTATGCCAAGTTCRTCTAGAGAGGTCATATCCAGAATACTCTTCCCAAGAAGTGATAGCAAGAATCATTGCTCAGCCTGGGCTGTGTTGGCTATTGTGTAATGCAAATTCGTGTTGACAGCAGCAGTTACTGTAAGCAGTCCCTCCCTTTGGCTGCTCTTCTCTGTTCTCTCAGTTCTGTAGGTCTTCAAAGATGTGAAGTTCATCAGAGAAGGGCATTGGATCCAGCTGAAAACTMATGCAGAGAAAAGAATGATTCAGCTAGATCCGTTCATGGCTCTGATTCACCTGACAACCATGCACACACGTCAGTMGGAAGGATGGGAAGAGATGTAAACAGGCAGCTAACTTTAACCCTAAATGCAAAGTTCCAAGTGCTTCTGAAAGTTAAAAACCTTACATTATTTCACCCTTTTTTCAGTAGCAAAAATATTTTCATGGTTCACTTGTAATGTTCGTAGTTTTCCATGAATGAGTGGGCAAAAATGTGTTCCAAAACCCATATAAAACTGCCTGACCTCTACGTGACTGTGGGCTGTGTGGTTTCATTTGAAGAGGTGATGATTTCACATCTTTTCTCCTACATCCATAGTTTCTAGTACTGCCCCTTGACAGCACAAAATGYTATGTTAACCATTTTTGAAATTCAAACTACTTTCTTTTAAACTAATTTTCTCTARATGGCAGTAAAGGAATAATTTAGAAGAACAAAACAAAACAAAAGCCCAATTTTTGAAAACATTGAATCCACTCATGAAGAATATAATCTGCTGTAGTTGCTCTACGTGTCTGGCAATGGCTTGTCATTGCCACTGACTTTTTTTTTTCTGTASTGCCAGGATTTCTTGATCCCATGAGTATATTCTGTTCCTGATTGCAAAATTATTTATTATTATTTCTTTTCTTAAATAAGTCTCATTAAATTCAGTTGCATCAGGATTCATTATTGTTTGAACTTTTCTGTAGATTGAATTTAACATTTGAATGGGTATAGTGAGRCTAATTTATTAAGTAGGCATAATTAGTTTTCAACTGAAAATATACAAAACCAATCCATGAACAAAACTCTATCAACATCAAGAAGGCTACAGCTACTTTCTATAAAGATGATACAATAGAAGATAGTTTTGTATTGTTTTGTTTCTGTTTATGTATATTTCATCTCCATAGTATG